TGAACTTGCAATCCTCCTGCCTCAGCCTCCCAAGACTCTGAAATTATTTTTGTTTTTGTTTGATACTGGGATTGAATCCAGAGGCACTCCACCACCAAGCTATATCCCCATCCTTTTTTAAAATTTGTATTTTAAAAAAGGGTCTTTCTAAGTTGCCCAGGCAGCACTTAAACTTGTGATTGTGATCCTCCTGCCTCAGYCTCCCAAGTAGCTAGGATGACAAATGAGAGCACCTGGTCCTGCTATTGTGTAAWWTTTTTGTTTGTTTCTTTGTTTTTAAAGATGCCTAGAAAAGACAAAGCCTTTTAAAAGTAGAATAATAAATTTTAAAGGAAAAGTTTTTTTTCTGAAATTGAGACGAAAGYGAAAAATCAATTCAACAAATATTTGTTAAGTGTAGCCTAAGCGATATRCATCATGCCAAATAAAGATAAATAAAACTATCTTCATTCTTAAAAAGCTCATGGCCTGTGAAAGGATATATGACATTTTCACTATTGGTACATGATTTTGGTTTTGCCTTTGGACATGTAAATGAAAAATAAAATTTAAAAAAAAAAAGGAAGTGTGAGGATCTCTATTTACTGAGGAGAGGTCCAGAAAGATATCACAGAAGATGTTCTATCTTAGCTGCAATCAAAAGACTTAATCAGAGTRTACTAAGTGGCTATGGTGGGTTGTAGGTTGTGGTTGAATGAACATTTCAGTCAAGAAGACAGATATATGCAAAGGTTCAGACTCAAGAAATAGCCTGGCACATGCAGGAGTTCAGAATAGTTTTGTACTGTTGGAGTACAAATCTTCAAGGGGACCAGGGTAAGAAGACAAGCTGCTCATTGGTGAGACAGAAAAGAGGATTCTGATCATGGAAGGACTTCAATTTTAGGTTAAAAATCTTGGCTTTTATTTTTCACACTATGACTCAAATCCTGACTGCATGAAAATCTCCTAGAGGAGTTTGGAAAAAAAATTCTAGCTCCCATTTCCAAARATTTTTATTTATTTTTAGGAAATAGAACATGGAATAAGTATTTTTCTTTTAAATCCCCAGGATTTTATTTTGTTTGGTTTGGTCTGGTTCTGCTTTGAGATTAAATGAACAGCTAGGTTTGGGATACACTGATTAGAAATTGGTTGGCCTGTAAAGGGTAGAAAATTGCAAAATCACAAGCATACCTTTGGCAGTTCATTCCAGCCACAGAGCTGAAGGATTCAGAAATTATGTCTGGAAGTAAGGGGAACAACCCTACAAGAAGCTACTGATCCATCCAGGCTGACTTATTTTGCATAAAGAAAACATAGACTTCGGGTCCCTGTTCACTGTGTTAGCATTGTTGTCATGGAGACTCACCTGCTCTAGGCCTCAGTCCTGGCATCTGCAGAACTGGAAATCTAGTAATATCCATTCAACAGCACTGTTATAAAATCATGTACGTGAGAGAGCATTTTGTTATGTGTGAGTTATTCCCTGTGCAGAAGCAATCTACAAGTTGAAGCAGACATTGTTGGTTGTCCAGCACCCTTCCACCCCAGCCAATCTACTACCTTTCCACAAGTGTTATTCTCTGAGAGAGATCTGTACAGAGGGATGACTTTTCTTCTTCTCTTTGATCCTGTTATTTCTGGAGATGTCTCCTGCACCTGTTGCTTGTGTTTTTCTAAAAAGGAAGAAGTGTAAAGAGACTGTCCTTGAAGACAGTGTTGAGCATGTAATGACTAACTTTGGAGTCCACACTGTCTGAATTTCTGGATATGTGAGAGAATACATTTAATTCCTGTTTTGCCAGTTTGGATAGGGGCTTCTCACAGCAAAAAGTAGCCTAAAGGATGGGTAGAATATGGATACAAAAAAAAAGTTTGTGGAAAAATTTCTTGTTGAAATATATAGTTTTATCCTACACTTGAACAGATTGAACCAAGTAAAAGTAGACCTAAAGAATCTGCCTTAGAACTAATTTAAGAAGAGAAAATCAATTCTAGTTAGATTGAGAAGTTCCAGGACTATAATAGGGTACTAAGGATACAGGCATGCACAGAGAGGTAGGGGTGTGTGTGTGTGTGTGTGTGTGTGTGTGTGTGTGTGTGTGTAAGTGGCTGAACTTCATAGAATCCTTGGTCATTCACTGGAGCCAATGTGGGTGGCTTTGCTGTGATCCCAGGTATCTTGGAATACCAGCCTCTAGGGAGGTCATAGTGACATAATGCAGACTGACTAGCTTTTTGCTTTCTAACTGTGCAAACTTCAGCAAGTTACTTAGCCTCTTTGAACCTTATCTTCCTTAACAATACCATGAAGAAAATACTACCTGCTTCAAAAGTTTTGTTGTGAACATTTAATGAGATATTATAAAGCATTTCCTACAGTGCATGGTAAATGAAGAAATAATAATTACAGTGTATTGGTGGGAATGTCCATTCAGTACTTAAACAGAGGGAGATGTGTTTGGCAGTGGGGACACCACTAGGGTTGTTCCAGATGAAACCTGGTACTCAGAGCTTTATCTAAACAGACTCAGCCTCCTGCAAAGATGGTAGAGAGCATTAGCTATTCTTTTTTGAAAGTAAATAGCTTAAACATTAGAGCCTCTTTTTTTAGTGTTGAATTTCCTCAAAGAAGTTGAAATTTTTACTATTTCTATAAAAAAAACAGAAATTGTAAAAGCAGCGTAATAACTTTATGCAGGAAAAATTTGTACACACTTAAAAATGCATAAATTATTACCTGTCAACTTGATTCTCTGCCTCTTAGATCAACAGCCTGAATTTCAGGAATTTAGTTATCTCATTGTGATTAATATCCCACATGCTGAAAAGATGCCCAGACTCTGAAAATTCAGAGATAGATGAGATTTCCCTGGGAAAATGGGGATGACTTTCTTTAGAATAAAATGGAGATAATTTTCTTTAGAATAAAATGGAAAAACTGCAAGATTTGGAAGGATATTAAGGCAGAAAATCAAAAGAAATTTAAAGAATAATCTTTGGAATAAGAAAAAATACTTACCTCCAAACAGTATCACTTAGGAAATGAGGCTGATAACTGTCTCAAGAACAGATGCAATTGAATTACAAATCAAAATGAGGCAAAATTTCCTGAACAAATAAGCTGGGAGGGAAGACTGCTGATGAGGTGTTAGAAGAAAAAGGTAAAACTGGTGAGTTCAAGGAATGTCTTTCTTCCTTTTAGAATTGTTTCCAATCTTCTTTTTCATTGTCTTCAGAAATCTAATCCACTCAAAGCCCTGACTCAGTTTAATTACTAGGTCATGCTATTAAGCCAACTCTATGAAACTCCTCAAATTCAGTTAGCTTTGTCTCCTTACCCCTGCCACTGAGTGGCTGTGCAGTGCACACAACACTGCCTGACCTCTGCCCTTCTTCACTGAGTCTTTAACTGTGCTCTGCAGCTCTCCATGTGGTAAAAACAATTGAAATACATCTGGTGTTCTATCTTTAAAATAGAAAGTAAACATTAAGTATAAGAACTAGAAAATATGTTTGTTAAATAACATTATGCTGTGGATGTTTCTATTGTTATTCTTTTTAAAGGTATTTTCCTTGGTGGCATTCTCTAGAACAATCATAAATTTTAGATCAATACATTTTCAATAGTAGTTTCAATGGAGCACAAGAAGCAGGCTGGGATGGTTAATCTGAATTATCCAATTGAATGGGTTAAGAGATGCCTAAGATTAAGAGGCTTACGGTCATGTATGTAAGAAATAAAATAAATAAATAAATAAATAAATAAATACTTTTAAAAAAGGCTTCTGGGTGTGTCAATGAGGTTGTTTCAAGGAATGATTAGCATGTTGGATAGTGAACTGGCGTGAAATGACATATAGACCCAACCTAGCGCAGCACTGTTCAATAGGTTGGAGGCTTGGTTAGAATAAAAGTGGGAAGAACAAGGAATCAGTAGCAGATGATGCAAACTTGATTCTTCTTGACYGAGTTCTTGGTAGCTGCTGTGATCACCTGAGGACATCAGACTTCAGCCCCTTCACTCTTCAAAAGTGAACTCTGCCAGTGATTCTCCAGGGAGTTTCCAAGCCTTTGGTCCTAGACTGATGTAGAATCATTGATCCATCTTGTTCTGAGGCTTCAGAATCTCAGAGAGTGCACCTACTGGTTCCTCCAGGTCTCTAGCCTGCAGATGGACTATGCAGCTTCTTGTTGTGTAACCCAATCAAACAAAAATCCTTTTTCTTTGTCTTTGTCTTTGTCTTTGTCTCTCTCTCTCTCTCTCTCTCTCTCTCTCTATATATATATATATATATATATATATATACACACACACACACACATATATACATACATACTAAGCCAACTATATATATATATATATATATGCATATGCATAAATGTGTGTGTATGTGTGTGTGTGTATATATATATATATATATATATATATATATATATATATATATAGCTTTCAGTTAATGAAACAATGGCCTACATCTAACAGTTAAAGAACTTTCCAATATATAAAGTCAAACTTACCTTTTTTAGAGTTCTGTCTTTAGAGAACAAAATTTAGTGTGCTATAAGACTACTGTCCAAAAATTGAAATGTTTTCAGAGATACTATGTGGAATCTCAGTTATTTATACCTTAGTGCAATTTGTTGTGGTGAGGTATTTTCCTACTCCAAACAACAACTGTAAGCTGAAATTCTTTTTTTTTTCTTTTTTTCAGTTTTGTGAAAGAGATTTGATACTAATGGGACCAGTAGGAACGGATGATTATAGGTTATTGAAAATTGCCCTGAGATGACAGAATTAGGCTACCAACAGTGTACATTGAGCCACAGAGTAAATGGAGGAATTTGGAGCATAACAAATATAAGGAGAGAAAAAAAAAGTTTCAGGAAAAAAAAAGCAGCTTGGTCTCCTTGTCAACTTTATAGAAATGGTCCTCAATACCCTTATTCTAATATGTTAGATTTTAGCATTTTTAAAATTTTAATACTAAAACACTGTAATATCACCACTTCCTTAGGTCGAGAATCTGCTGCATCAAAGCTCTGGTGGAATAAACAGGGGAAGAAAAATCTCAAAGGTTCACAGCCAGGTTTTAGAGATGAAGGGCAGGTAAGGTTCTCTCCCTCAAGTGGACCATTGGGTCAAAGCACCTATCTCAGCCTGCCCAGCCTTTGACATCTTCTAGGAAAACCAATGCACACATGAAGTGAAGATCTTTCCCCTCTGAAACTCAAATGTCCTGACCTGAGTATCTTGTTAGAATATCCCCATCTAGTTTGTTCAGTGAAGGACAAGAGAACTATGAGGTCTGCTCTTCTTTTCCCAGCTCCCATTTCCAAGCTGCCTCTTAGCCTCCTTCCCCAAATGCTGTTCCCTTGGGCTGCCCACACTTCCTTAGGGTTTCTTCTGAATGCACTGAATTCCTCCCATTGGCTGCTCCATTTGGACCACTCTGTAGCCCTTCACATGATTTGCTTTTTTTAGGTTGAAATATTTTCCTTGACCCCCCAATCTATAAAATGCATTTCTTGTTACTCTCTTTTCCAGCCCTGTCTTAGTCCATTTTATGTTGCTACAACAGATTAACATGGGTCGGGTAGTTTGTAAAGAAATTAATTTTCTTACAGTTCTGGAGACTGGAAAATTCAAGATGACGGGGCATATCAGCTTAGAGCCTGCTTACTTCATCATCTCATGAGGGAGGTAGAGGGGAAAGAGTGAGAAAGAGACATCAAACATATAGCCTCAAGGATTTTTATGAGTGACATTAATCCACTTATGAAGGTGGAATTGTCCTCATGACCTAAACAACTCCCATCAGTCCCCATCTCCCAGGACTGTGGCATTGGGGATTAATTTTCCATTACAGGGCTTTGGGGGATATACACAAAACAGAGAAGCTCCCAATTTTTTTTAGATGCCTTCAAGGAAGTAGTTCCAGGTTTTAACACTTTCTTTCTTATTCTTTGGCCTCTCTCTCACTAGACTATGAACTACCTAAAGGGCAGGCTCTATCTTGTGTCCTACTGTTTCTGTAACAACTTCCATGTAGTTGAATTTATTAAAGCACTGATACTGTGCTGGTTTTAGTGGGGAGCTAAGTGGTATTGCTCTCGGCTCTGGAAGAACCAGATTGCTACTACTCTGTGAAAGGTTGAAGGTAGGATTTATAGACCTCCCTTGACAGGGGGGACCCTGTCACAGCCTGAGGTGGGAGGAAATGAGCAGTCATGCCTACAGAAGGAACTAGCATTTTCCTTACAAAGAGGCTGTATCTCCTCAACATTTGCAGAAGCACTTTGTGAAAACTCCAGAATTTTTTTACTGCTTAGTGTGAGGGACTTTAGTGTACAAAATTAAAAACGATTTTTAGGGAGTTTGACCAGATGTTACCAAATGATTATCATGTCTAGAAATTTTTTTAAAAAATGAACAGACAAGACATTATATAACCTGTGAAACCTGAAATTTTAAAAATTGTCATTTGAATGTGAGGACTCTGCCTCATTCATCTCTATAGTATAAAGTTCTAGACAAAAAAAAAAAAAGTGACTCACTATTCAAAAAATACTGACTGCTCCTAAAACAAGTTCTTTAGCATGAAAAGGCTGTCAAGAATACTCCCAATGGCAGGAGTAACAACCTGAAGAGGACATTTAGATAAAACAGATATTATTCCTAAAGTGATTGCCACTTCTAACTTCTGGCTTTCTTTTGTCTTTGGTGCATCTGACATTGAAATTAATCATAAGAACAAGTTGAAGGAAGGGGGTGATGATATATGATGTGCTTCCTGTATAGCAAACCCATATCTGCATGCATGCCCTATGGTATGCTGTGAGAATTATATAAAATAGTATACAATGTAGTTGTATCTTTACTGTTGTGTTGAAGAATAAATTGGGATTCAGAGTGCTTATGCTCATACTCACAAAGCCAGAAAGGAGCAAGGCTAACATTTGCAATGTAGTCAGGTATGTTTGATTTAGGAACAAATACTATTTCCATTACAAGACACTTTCCCAGAAAATAATCTGAGAAATGGAATCGACGGCTCTTATGCCAGTAGAACCTTGAAACTCCCATTCATAAGGTCTTTCCTTTTCAAAGGGAAGGGAAGGAGGAGACTGACACTTAGACCAAAGGACTCTAATTAAAGTAGTAGAATCTGAGACATAGTAATAACTGCACTGAATAATCCTTCTGCCCTTATGAAAATGGTAGCATATTCACTCGATCTTATCATAGGCCAGCACTAGGATGTCATCTCGACTCTTCAATACTCTGATTTCCATGTGTGATTTCTCATGGGGTGGGCATTCTGTATTCCCAGTGCCTGATGATTTTTACAGAATCACTTCCCCATTCATAAAGCATTAGTATTGGATTTCTTGAAAGGGCATTAAAAAGTATTAATGTTGGTTGTTTCTGTAAATACAAACCTTGACTAAAGCCCCAAGTTTTTTAATACTGTATGACTGCCCCAATGTTATTCTAAACTCTACTATTCCTCTTGAGGATCAGAGTGACAAGTCAACTGGGAATCCAGGTTGGTGAAACCCAGGTCAAGGTGTTTTGTTTGGAACTCAAATCTGTCACAGAGCAATATATGACCAAATCAAATTTCTAAAAAAGATCAGGGCATCTCTTGAAAGCCACTCCACAGTATTACTATAAACTCAAAAATGCACCACATCCTCTCAACAGTTATTTGTCCTAAAATCTGAGTATTTCACTTCAACATCCACTAACTCTCTCATGTCTACAATAACCCTCTGACATAATTGTTTCCATATATTTTATTTATTTTAAAATTTACTTTTCCAGGCTTATTAGGATATAATTGGCCAATGAAAATTGTTTATATTTAAGGTATACAATGTGATGATTTGCTATATATAAAGCCTGAGAACTGATTACCATAGTCAAACTAATTAGCATAATCATCACTACCCCCAGTTACCCAGTGTGTGTATCTGTGTGTCTGTGTGGTGAGGACACTTGAGATTTACTCTCTTAGCACATTTCATACCATATAAGTGAGTGAAGTAACTAAGGCAAAGCAAGATGAAGTAACAACTAAGTTTTATAGAACTAGGACTTACATGAGCCATGTCCTGGGCTTAGGACACGGTAGGTAGGTAGTATGGAGCAAGATACCCTGGTGGTAGGGAAACAGACATTGTTGACCTACCGTGAGTCACTATTGTGTTAAATCATGCATTCATTACTTATTTGCTGTCAAACAAGTTTCTTAACCACACTATGCTTTGGTTGAAATACAGATCATTGTTATACCTATTTTAAAGGATTACTTGAGGTTTAAAAATGATATTTTCCATTGTGCTTGTCAGTTTTGAGTTACTATCCAGCAAATACCTAAGATAATGAACTTATTTTTAAAATGCTTATTTTGACTCACAGTTTTGGAGGGTTCAGTCTATGATCAATCCCTGTTGCTTTAGGGGTTCTGGTGGGGGAAGGGAAGCATATCATACCAGGATTGTGTGGCTTAACAAAGCAGTTCACTTGATGGCCAGGAAATGAAAGAAAAGAAAAGGAAGGGACTAAGATCCCACTATCCCCTTTGAGAGTATTCTCCAATGACCTCTCACTTGGTCCTACTTCGTTAAGTTTCTTTCATCTCTATTATCACCACTTTTTAGACTAAGTCTCTTGTTCAAGTCATCTTTTTGTCACTGTGACCAAAAAGCCTGATAATAATAATGCAGAGTAGGAAATTTATTTTACTTTATGGTTTCAGAAGTTTATTTTGGTTTTATGGTTTCTGAACTATGGTCAGCTGACTCCATAGTTGACCCCATGGTATGACTCCTGGGCTCAAGGTGAGGCAGAACATCGTGGCAGAAGGGCAGGGTGGAGAAAAGCAGCCCCAGGACATGGCAACAAAGAAGCAGAGACTGAGATCCACTCACCAGGGACAAAATATAGACACCAAAGGCACATGGCCCAGTGACCTACCTCCTTCATTCACACCCCACCTGCCTACAGTTACCACCCAGTCCATCCATGTCTATGGATTAATTCACTGATTAGGTTACAACTGTCATAAACTAATCATTTCATCTCTAAAATTTCTTTGTCTCACATGAGATTTAGACCTACATCTCATATCTAAAATGTTCCATTCTTGACCCCCAGAAGCTTTTGCCTATCTCACAATGCAAAATACATTTAATCCATTTCCAAGTGTCCCCCCAGTCTCATGAATATCAACATTGCCCCAAAATTCCAAGTCTAAAATCTCATCTGAGACTCAAGGCAAAAAACACAAGGGATCTTTTCCCCTGAAACTTTTCATTCCACAAGAGGGAAATGGGAGCACATAAAGAATAATGGACCAAAATAAGATTGAAATCCAGCTGGACAAACAAGTTCTGCAGCCCTACATCCTGCATCTGGAGCAGATGGCATTGTGATATTCTCTCCAAAGGGCTGTGTAACACCACCTATCTGGCCCTGCTGGTTGCAATTCATATGGCCCCTCTTTTGGTGTGTGGTCAATTCTTGCATGGCAGACATTCCATGTTATTGGCATCTCTTAATCTTGAGGATCTCTGTTCAAGGTTTGGCTTCTATTTCACTTTTTCGCACATTGTCCTCTCAGGGGAAGCCTGTGGTGACTTTGTAGCACTCTGCCTGTCTGACATTCCAGACTCTCCTTTGAAATCTTGGTAAAAACCTCCATGACCCCCTAACTCCAGCATTCTGCAGAACAAGCACCACATGGTCTGCCACCATCTCGAGCAGTAACCAAGACTCCTGGAACCATGACTGCAACAGCCTCTGGCCAATTGAGCATGGTGAAAAACATCCTAGGCACCCCTAGGCAAGCAAGCACAGCCATATTTTCTTCTGAGAGGAATTTTTACTTTTATATTCCTGAGCCTGAGATGGGTGTGGTCTTGCCAATTCCTGAGAGACCCGAAAATCCTCTTTCCTATTGTCTCTTTGTAGAGTACTTTGCATCTGTTTAGTGGCTATAACAGCCGCAAATTGCACTTTCATGAATTTTTTTTCCATCAGAATAATTAGTCTATCATCTTGACATTCAGGACATGGGTAAAATGTAAACAACTTCTTTGTCA